AATGCATAATTTCATTTGATAAACATGTTTAGATTGAATGGTAATTTATAATCAGTCACAAGAACGTCGAATCTGAATCACTTGAAAAAAACACGGGGGTGCTTAACTTTTTTCCAGGTGTATACATTAATGTAGATAAGATTATATTTTAAGACAAGTCTGAGACTGGTTGCAAGTTAAAATACATATGGTTAGCAGTTGAGACATTATTACTGACAAAGAAAAGCACAGATAAAACATCGGAGAGCAAGCTGGGTCTTTCAGAGTTTAACAATAGTGCCCTAAAAGTGCCAAACTCACCTACACTGTTCGCATTCTTTCCATAGCAGACTAGTCATCTGACAGGATTCTAGGTCTTTGGTGGCATTTCCCACCCCATGTTTCAGCCATAAAATAACTAATCTCTCATACAGGGTGATGTCAACTTTGATACAATTGCCTTATGAGATTGTATCTACTGCCATTGATTGAATCTTGCCATGGAGAATGACATTCAGGGCAAATTTTGCACTTAGACAGGATTTATCAGATTCTGAACAAGATTCTGAATTACAGTTCTAGCAAAAACTTTGAACTTTCTTTTTACTAAGCTAAATTTAAATACAGATTATCAGTAGGTTGGGGGGGGGAACAAATTATAAAGCTGAAATTGACCTGAATTTTTAATAAAATGATCGTTATAACATATCATAACATAACATATTATTTTCTAGTAATATGTGAGTGAGAATGAGTACAAAATCATTTTTATGTTATTTGGATTCATTGTCATTTCTTTTTGAATAAACAAAAATTCCAGTTTGACCAATTTTATTTATTTCAAAAATTGTGAGTAGAAGCAAAGGTGTTTTTAATAATGTAGAAAAAGGTGAATATCATTAAAATATAAAGTCAGCGTAAACTGGTATTTATTGCTTTTAAAAAGCAGAAAATGTCTGTGTTATCTAGCAAGTTCTCAGCTTCACATTTTCTAAACTTATAACTAAATCAAGACAATAGTTTAGTTGTGTTCAGTGTGTTTAATGTTTAGTGACCCTGTAGATGAGGAAATACTGAATTTTATGCAATATTCTAAATTGTTAAGGCTAACTTTTCCACCTTGTTTTATATTTTTGTTCAAAGAATAAAATATTGATTCACAGTCTTGAGGAAAATTTTCTTCTGCACTCAGCTTACTTGCATAGAAGATCTGCCTTGCAAGTTAAACTAGTTCAGCTATTATCAGCTTATTTTACAGTTGAATTAATTTTATTTATACATGTTTTATAGTAATTTTCATATAGATAGAAACCTGTAAGACAATTAGCATGGGATTATTGTTTAGTGCAATGCTGCAGTATAAAAATTAAAATGTTGAATTCTCAAAAGTAAGATGTTGTTTAGTGACAGATTGTTAGTGACATTGAGATTAAAAAGTAAAATAAGGATATGTAGAAAATGTTTGCTTGTTAGATGAGTTGCTTTTAAAAATTAAATATACCTTTTCATGGCTTGAATATTCATTTTTATATTGAAAGATTCTGAAGTACAAGGTTCCACCCACTGATATAGCAACAGAATCTACAAACAGAACAATCAAGAAAACAACCGAGAACACTATAGCAAGGGGAAATGAAGCACAAGTCTCAGATAATGAGCAGGTCACTAGCATACTTCAATTGAATGATAGTATGAATAGTAGTTTAGAAGTACCATAAGATAAGTTTGATAGTAAAGGGTGAGTAAGATCACAGAATAAAATACACCTTTCTTTCAGAACTAGCAGTAGTAGAATTGTCAGTAAGTGGATGAATAATAAAGTAAAAGAAATAGCTAATGTTATAAATTAATTTGTGAAGAAATTGAGAAAGATTCATTTTGAGGCTCAAATATTGATAGGTTAAACAAGAAACATTGTTTCAGGCTATAAAAAGTGATGAAATTTTATAATATGACTGAATAAAATATGAAACCCGATAGAGTAGGTTTAGACAGAGAAGAGTATACTTGAAAGGCATTCTTAATGGACAGCATCTGTCTAGGAAGATTTTGGATGATGTTTTAAGTTGCTTGTGTTAATATTCATCAGGTCTCTGATTAAGGTCTGCACTAGCAACTCAAAGCATTGTCCGAACACATTCTGGACGAATGGAGTCCATTAACTATACCTTTCAAGAAACCCTAAAGCCCAAAACTTTAAACCTTTTTTTCACAAGGGCAATCAATTTGCCCCTGGTGAAGAATGATCTATCTTGAGTTATAGAGTTCTTTATTTTTGCCTTTAAATGATTTTTGAACTTGCATGTTTTCCTAACATCACATATTGGACTGACTAAATATAGGTTTGTGACATGAAGACTTGAAATGAGCACCCTATTTTGTTGTTTGATAGAAGGTCATTGGGTCAACATTAATATATGTGTGATGTTGAAGATGATCAAGCAGTTCTATGCTGTTTATATTGAAAAATGTGAAAACATCAGAGTGAGATTGCTAATAACTTTTAACTATTTAGTCTCTTAACTTGTTTAATTTGGGCTTGTACCAAGAAGAGTGCTTGAATAGTATTCAGTTTATCTGTTGTAGGATGCTTCCAGTGAGGTTTCACTCAATACTAGAACTTTAATATACCATTAGAAAGAGCTCTTTGTCAAATTTTTGTCATATAAAGCAGCCCCCAGTGGCACAGCAGTATGTCTGTGGACCTACAACGCTAGAATCTGAGTTTTGATAACCGTGGTGAGCAGAGCACAGATAGCCCATTGTGTAGCTTAATTACAATCAATCAAACATATAAAGCAAGTGTAGCCATTTAGAGTAATGATAGATTACCATGGCATTGAAGTTACCAAGCAGTGTTATGCCCACTAGGAGAAAAGTTTTTTGATATTAAAAATGCTCACATTGATCATCTTTTTATATTTTTATTATTAAGTCAGATAATATAAAATAAAGCACCCTGATAGCTAATAATCAGTACTAATTTAGTTATTAATTACCAAACCTTAAGTATTCTCTAAACTCAATACCAATATTTTGTAAGAAAGTCTTAATAGAAGATTTTGTATACACATCTTTCCTTAAAAAAACTAGGCACTTCCAGATTATACAAGATAATCACTTACAGGTTTTAATGTTTTTTCTAGATGTCTTTGCATTTAAATTATCTTGAGAAATTGTTCAGACAAAATAGAATTAATCAAAGATACAGATAGGATATATCATTGTATTTTCATTACTGTATTAATTTAGAAATATCAATTTTACATACTTTTTGGTGCAAGATATTTGTTCTTTGTGCAGTTGCTATTCTGTTTCAAATCAATATGTTTAGGATGCAGAGCTAGAATAATCCTCAGTCTGACTGTGAAAAAAAAAGCAGATATATGGAAAATATTTCTTGCCAGATGATAACTCACCTCGTCACACATAAATGATAAATCTGTCTGTCTATGAAATTTGCATGCTTCTAGCCATAAGGTAATTCCCACCTAAATTAATGTATTTAATGTGAACTGTGCTGGTGCATGATGGTGTCACCAAATGACAAAAACCCTCCACCAATAGAAAGGCAACACAACCTCCATGTGCAGTAGCTCCCCATATGCACTTGCACTCGTGATAACTTCATTTTTCTCCTACATTGAACAGACACATTTAAAATTTCTCTTCCAAGTTTTATTTGAGGAGATTTGCATTTGTTAACAAAACTTTGATTTTCATTTTTTTTACTTTTGATTCCAAAGCTTTAATTTTTTTTTATCATGAATTTTTAAATGACAGTGACTTGTACTTAGTTCTGTGTGAGTGATGATATTACACACACACACACTGGCTTTATTTCTTCTATTGTGTATGGAGGCTCATTAACTGCTGGGGATGTTGTAGCCATTGTTCAACATGTTGTGGATTACCATATACTTATTTGGGCCTCTGACCTACTCGCCTCCCATAGCCGACGTTCTTTCTCTTTAGTCGGGAATGATCTATTGGACTACAAATTTAACCTATTTGCTTTTGGTAATACCTTACAATTTGGGGAATTACCTTAACCTTCCAGTCTCTTTCTGAATTTCATTCTCAGGTATGTTCATTTCCTCATTTTTCACCTGTCTCCTTTAATATTTTTCGTTTTTTACTCCATGATCTCAATTCTTGGGGTTCATCTTGCCTTTCCACCTTGCTTGTTATTATGTTTCCTTTTTCTAATAGCTCATCTCTCACACCAAAATGCTTCGTCCCCCTCACATTCATGACTTGTAGACATTCTTCCTTTCCTTCTGTTTTTGTTATCTATTTGGCTTGCTTAGGGATTGGACCCCTTGCCTTTTGTTTTACTCGCTGGTTCCCCTTTTTCATGTCTTCATCATTTTCTCACCACCTTCCTATATTCCCTCTCCTACCTCCATCTTTTGTCTAAAGTGCTTCATCATGCTACAAAAGGAGTTTCTGTAGAAGTTTCTTCCCCTCTCTTTGCCAGCTTAACCTGTTCTATTTCTTCAACTCTATCCCTCCTTACTTTGTTCCCCTGATGTTGAGATTCAGGTTATGTTCCTCTTTACTGTATGCGCCTTCCTTCTTATTGTGTACATGATCTTTGTTGGGCTCCTTTTCTTTGTCCAGACATCATCAGTGGTGTTTATTTCTCTCTGGAGACCTGGATTGACATTGTATGACTTCAATCCTTGTTATCTTCCCAGGTTTTTCTTCTTTCTTGACCTTGTCGTTTACTCCTGTTCTTTGCCTGGATCAGTTTACCCCAAACCTTCCCATTCCAGATTCCAGACCTTCTTCTTTTTCTTGTCCTCCCTCTACCCAACATCCAGTTCACCACTCTCCTTTTCAGTAAATATCATGTCATGTCCAACCCTGTGGGTATCCATCTCTTCCTTTTCTTCTGCCATTTTCTGCCAACAGTCATTTTCATTTCTCCACCATGGTCTCACTCCTCTTCCCATTTTCTTTTCTCTTCCCTCTGATCCCATCTATTGTCTTTTTCACCAAGTCTGTGGTGGCCATGGTCGATGTGTCAGACACCTTCCTGCGCATCCCTCTTGACATGTCCTCTATATGTTTTCTAATATCTGTCCATCAGATTTGCATCTAACAATTTCTTGCACTTCCCTTTGACATATAATCAGCCCCTTTTATCATCATTTGTCTCATGGGGGCCTTTGATCACCATATTCATGACCTGGAGTTGGCATTTCTTCTCTTAGACGATTTACTTCTATTGGCCCATTCTTGGATGGTATCCTCTTCTCATACCTCCTTTCTTTTACAGAAGGCCACTCAGTTGAGGTGGCTTGTCATTAGTTGTAGGTCCTTTCTCACACCCACTTAATATTTGGTACTTCTGAGCATTTTCTTAATCTCTTGTCTCAGCTGAGTTCAGCCTTTTTTCTCTTTGCCTGCAAGCTATGGTGTATCTGGTTACCAAGACTTGCACTTCTCAATCTCATCCTCCATGAGAGGTTCCTTCACTTCTGTAATATAATAAATTTTTTAAAATAACTGTTACGACAGCGGGGGTCACGTGACGCTAGTAACACGTCATGTGCTTCTCGAACGTTCACGTTCCTTCCTGAAATCTCGAGAGCCTATTAGATATGCAGTACTCTTGTATATATAAACCGGTAAGAACTGATGGCAACAATGTAATGGGTAACTGAACTGTGGACAGAGAGAGACGTATTGTTGAGCATGTGAGACGTTTGTTGTGATTTATAGCGTTTGTTATAGCGTGACTGTGGAAATTTAGTGTATTGCAAAATTGTATTCAGAAAGAATAAACCAGTTTTATTTAAGAAAGGACTTGTGTCACTAAAGTTTCATCGGAAAGAAATTATACGGAAAAATTAACTAACGAACGGAGGCGTAACAAATTGGTTACAAAATGGAAATGAGAAGTGGCAAATCAAAATACAGCTTAGCAGATTTGATGGCAGCAATACAAGAACAGCAAAAGAAACAAGAAGAACGAGAAGAGAAACAAGAAGAGAAATTACAGCATTTCTTCGAGGAAAAAGAAAAGAAACAAGAAGAAAGATTACAGCAGTGGCAAGAAAACCTGCAACAGTGGCAGCTGGAGCAGCAAAATAAACAAGAGAGATTACAGCAGTTGTTGGAGGAAAAAAGAAAAGAAACAAGAAGAAAGATTACAGCAGTGGCAAGAAAACCTGCAACAGTGGCAGCTTGAACAGCAAAATAAACAAGAGAGATTACAGCGGTTATTGGAGGAGAAAGAAAATAAACAAGAAGAGAGACTACACCAGTAGTTGGAGGAGAAAGAAAATGAACAAGAAGAGAGACTACAGCAGTGGATGGAAGAGAAAGAAAATAAACAAGAAGAAAGTCTCCAAAAGTTGCAGGAAAGTCAGCAGCAACTACAGGAAAGTCAACAACAGTGGTCTGCTGAGTTAGGAACAAACCACAGATCATTATATTTGTTTCATGGTTTCTTTAGATGTTTTTGTAAGTTACTGAAATTTTGTTCTATGACAAGATGTCATGTGACCTTATTTAGGGTTAATATGTATGGCAGGCGACTATTAAATATTCCAATGCCTCAAAGTAAAGGAACTTATTATTTATTGAAAAGAAACCATATTCATTAGATATAATTTGATCTTGACCAAGAATATTGTTAGCAAAAATATTTTTATCTAGTCTGACTTGTGTCATTTTGAAAACTCAAGTTTTAGGACACTGAAAAATCTTTTTCAGTTTCTGCAGTGATTTATAGTTGAAAGTGGTGACTAGTGAAATTAGCAAAATAAAGTATAAAAAAAAATGTGGTAATGAATTTTATTTGACTGAACATATGAAATAGAACATTCTGATTGGTAAAAAAAACTGAAATTCTAAAATAAAAGGAAGAATTTTAATGTTTTTTTCAAAATAGTGTCTCACAATAAAATTTTGTAAGTTTCACATAAAAAAATGATAGAAAACTAAATCAAATTATGTGATTCTTTTAAGATCTGAAACATGCTGTTTAGTATGTTTCTTCTAAATTTCATTCAATTTGGTTCAGTATTTTCACTGCAAGAAGGAAAAAAATTAAACAATACAATTGACATCCCTTTGGTGTGGAAAAGAGTTAATTAGAACTTTTAGTAGGTTAGTCACGTGCATTTTCAGAATGAAATATGAAGTATGTCTTCTACATCCACCTAATTCATAATACAGTTGATTTAGCATAGATGTCAACAAAACCTAGATACCCACATTAAAAACATTCCAGTAGGTTGTTGTTTAAAATTTTGAGGGAAAGACCTCAGTCGATTGAATGATGCACCAAATTTTGAACAAAAAGACAAAGACTTGAATTCCTGCTACTATCAACACAGAAGTACTTCTTCTCAGGACATCTCTGATGATGGCAACAAATAAGCAACTGAAATGTAGTATAACAGGCCCGGCATGGCCAGGTGGTTAGGGCGCTCGAATTCCAAACTGTTCATCAGCAAAAAAGCAACAGTTCCATTTCGATGGCCCAACATGTGCTCGACTCGCAATTTGAGGGTCGCGGGTTTGAATCCCCGTTACACCAAACATGCTCGCCCTTTCACCCGTGGAGGCATTATAATGTGATGGTCAATCCCACTATTCATTGGTAAAAGAGTAGCCCAAGAGTTGGCGGTGGGTGGTGATGACTAGCTGCCTTCCCTGTAGTCTTACACTACTAAATTAGGGATGGCTAGTGCAGATAGCCCTCGTGTAGCTTTGCACAAAATTCAAAATAAACAAAAGTAGTATAACAATAGTTAGTAATAAGTATCTAGTTGTTAAAAATTTTACTAATTAATAATGAGACTTAGATAATCGTATAGACCACTAACCATGATGATGGTTGATATACGATCACTACAACTTTATTGTAAGCACTCGGCATATTCTAGGGTTCTCTAAAATTCCTTATTTAATGATGTGAAGTACTCTCAACAAATCATCAAATAAAGGAGTTTTGACAAAAATTGTATCACAAAGCAGTGCCTGAATTTTTCTGGCTTTTACTGAGTCTGACCAACTTGACATAAATTTGTACACAATTGCAATGTTTTATTTGTACAATCAAAGCTCAAGTTAACACTTGGACAAGTATTTTGTTAACTGAAAAGAAAGAGAGTTGGAAAACTTTATTTATGCTCTCTCATCAGTCTACTATAAGCTCACAAATGTTGAAGTCAAAGCCTAAGTGTAAGTAAAGTTTGAGATGTTCTAAATTTGAATTTCTGGAATATCAGTAACAATTTTGTAGCTCTTGAAACTGTAAAAATCTATCGGAGACTAAAAAAATCATAATATTATATACATACAATTCTCATCTCCAGACAAACATGCTATCCATGTGACTGAGACCACTTTTATTGTCAACAAGGGGGGTGTTATATACCCTTGGGCCATCACCTGACTTGCCAGTAGAAAATATCACTGTCACTATCAATAGCATATCTTATGCTACAGTAATACTTTCTAATGAGAAGTGCATTTGATGACCACTCCCATGAATAACTAGGACAACAGAAACCTAGTGATTCCCTTGACCTACCTTATATGTTAAGAATGAAACCTGAAGTATACTGAAGTTTTGAAAACTTTATCTAGTGATTAAGGGGTTGGGAAACATAAGATATTCTCATATACTCAATAACCAGTGAGTGAAAACTAAGCGTTTGAGACACGGGCAATAGCTTTGATGGTTAAGATGTCTGCCCAGCAAGCAGAATCATTGGTTTAGATTTAATTCATTCTTAATTTTCAAACTTTACAGGATGGTATGCTACCATTAAAATTTCTGTAGTTATAAAAAAAAAAGTTTAAATTATTGTTTCCAATCAAAATTTGCAGCAAACAAATTCTTAGTTTTACAAGCTGATTATTATAGGCCCATATTCCTATAAAATTTCTTCCTTAATAACACAGGCCTGTGAAATTTAAACTTCATAAACTTTGTTTTGGTTTTAGTAAAGGATTTTTCCATAATACAGCTATGCAAATTTTGAAAATAATATTAATTTTTGTCTATCACGTAAGGATTTTTTACAAATTGGGAAGAAAAAAACTTACTTAGATCAAATTTACCACAAGTATAACAGAATATGTTTGGGTCATTTACACAACCTGGTTATGCTGTAAAGCCCGCAAAGCATCTTTAGGCTATATCTTCAATTAATGATAAAAACCATAGTTTTTGGCTTTTCTTTGCATATAGATGCTTGATACATTAAGAGCGACTGAAATAATGATTTGAGTAATAATTAATATGTATTTGTTACTTTATAGATTTAATAGATATTTGTTGTTACTTTATTAACATTTTTACGCTTATACTGTGAGGTAAAAACGGCTGCTGCTATGATTTTGTCTGGTTTATGAGTTAGTTGCGGTCCTAAATTAGGATTTTTTTTTTTAAATA